AGACGGCGAGCACCTCTTCAAGCGAAGTCTATCAACCCTGTTCCAGCGTTATTTTATTACTCCTTTCTCAAATGGGCTCACAAATTCGGAGGGAAAGGTCTCTTTTCCGCCAGTGCACTGCTTTATTAGACAAAAAAGGTACCTGTTTCGTTATTACCTCCTTGAGATTAAAGGCAAATACGTCGATGTAAAATGAAAGTAATTTGACAGAAAAATGAGAATGTTGGCATTCAATCAATTTTTTATTTATTTCTCCTAGCGGGTTCTCGGGTAATGATGGCGTCTTTCTGTTGCAATGATTAATTAAAACAACCACTTTGTGTTTGGTTGGGTTTTTTTAAATTTAACAATCACTGTACTACCTATATATATATTTTTTGTGGTTCCAATTGATGTGAACAGTACATAGTCCACAAGGAGCTGGAGGGACACTTCTTTGATGCAAAATACTGAGAGTAGTGTCAATTTCGTTTACGAAAGTGCATTAAAAAATGCACTCTAAGCTTTCTGTCTCTGAAGAAGAGTTATGAAAAATGCGTATTGCGAAAATTCCTATACGTGTTTGGTTCCTTGTAGTCCAAGTTTAGTTTATTTTTAAATCATTCAGTCACCTACTGCCCTCCATCCATTGTCCGCTCATGTGGAATCGGGATTAGGAAACGTCCCCAGCAACCTGTCATTAGAGGAGACTATCAATGGATGGGTGATCAGACTCCGTTGCTTACATACTCATAATGAAGATCCGGGGTAGAATAAGTCTTCAGCAACCCATGTTACCGTAAAAGGTGACTATGCTTGTCGTAAGAGACGACTAACGGGAACGGGTGGTCAGGCTCGCTGACTTGGTTGATGCATGTCATCCCAATTGCGTGGATCGATGCTCATGATGTCAATCACTGGATTGTCTGGTCCAGACTCGATTATTTACAGACCGCCGTCATATAGCTGGAATATTGATGAGTGCGGCGTTAAACAAAACGCAATCAGACAAAACATACTCATAATATCAATCACTGGGTTGTCTGGTCCAGACTCGATAATTTACATGCCGTCGTCATATAGTCTGAAAAGTGCGGCGTTAAACAACAAATTGAAAACATTCATTGTATTTCCACCATTCTCCCTTTATTTTTATCGCATTCATTCAGGGTGTTTGTTTCACAAATCTACAATCCAAGGCAACCTGTTTGTCGTAATAGGTTACTAAATGAAGGGACCTGATGATCATGCTCGCTGACTTGGTTGATGCAGGTCATCGTATCCCTCTTGCGTGGATCGATGCTCATGATGTCAATCACTGGGCTGTCTGGTTTATTTTCGAACCGCCATCATATAGCTGGAATATTGCTCAGTGCGGCGTTAAACATCAAACAAACAAACAAACAAACGGTGTTAATAACCTGTAGGTATGGTGGTGAGCGTGTATGTCATATCGACTGAATTCAATAGCTCCATAGCAATCCGAGAGATATATTACTGGGTCAAGCAAATGTTCTACCAAATCCTTGTCTCACAGATTAACAATAATCCTGCATACAAGGGACTTTCTCAGAACGTGTTTGAGAAAAGTGGAATTAATGTCGTGTGGATTCTCAGATACTCATAGGATATCATTGATTTTTCGCAATCTCGGGAAAGAGGTGAGGTGAAATGGGGTTTAACGTCGCGTCCAAGATTATTGCACTTATATAGCGACGTGCATGCACGTGTGTGTGTGTGTGTGTGTGTGTGTGTGTATGGCTGCTTGTACTAGTCCGGACTGATGCCGATTTATAGTGCTAGCACACTGAGATACCATGCCGCAGTTTAACATGAATACCCCACTCAGACACAGTATACTGACTCCGAGCCGACCAGTCCTTGCTTTAACCCCTTAATGCCGAGCGCCAGACAGGGTAACAACAAGTACCATCTTTTAACGTCTTTTGGTACGACGCGGCCGGGGATCGAACCCCGGACCTTCCGCTTTCCGGGCGGACGCTCTACCACTAGACCACGGAGGCGGTCTCTCGGGAAAGAATCAAGTTCAGTTCTGTCAAAAACATTTCATTTTTTAACTTAGTCCACCACTATCCCACACGACAAACTGAAGGTAAAACTTCATTCCTTGCTCCATGGGGCATAGTCAACGATTGATGGTCTGGTTTGTTCACAAGTCGCCGTCGCATAGCAGTATGGTGTCGGGTAATACATACTTACTGTTTTGTGCAAATTGTGTGAACGGCGGATGCTACCGGTAGTGCAAGATATGTTTACCCTTTTCGCGAACACCTGGTGTCATCACTTGTTTTCTGCTATTTTACCCTTTATGCCAAATAGGAATATATCGGAGGATAATCTAGACAGATTATTCTCTTGCATTGACAATTTATATTTACAAAACGTGGTAACCATAGATACTTCCAACCTAATCTTCAAAGGTTTAGGATAAGTTGTCAAAATGAAAACAAATGTCATCTGAAGACTACTGAAAAAAACAATTATATAATATACATGTGGAATTTTGAAGTAGGACATTGAGCCAAAAGTAGACAAGAATCGATAGTACCAAAACGATTTCATTAAGCTTCGATGATCAGATATCGTTCAATAATAACCAATTACCTTCCACTCCGTTGACAAAGAACGCCCCGCAAGATTGTATGACAAGAGGGATGACATCAACTTTCCAAAGTCAACTTTCACGTCATTTTGACCAATATTCCAGCAGCTCCAGCCGTTGGTGTCTACCTTTCATAACTTTTGAGGTACAACGCACTTTCTACGAAGATTACAAAGCGTGTCATACGACTCTACCTCAAAGGTTGTTCGTTTTATTTCGTCCTTAGAACACCATGAAGTGCTAAAGCATCGACAATCATGCTACCTTACGACAGACTAAGAACGCTAATTGAAAGTAGGTCTCATTTATTCAGTTCACAGCAAAGAACAGAAGAGATACTCCTCTTGCCCTCAGGACCCAATACTCAATATAAATCAAGCACATGGCATTCATGACACACCAATATTCAGATAATGAATATTACCCCGACCACTAAAAAATGTCTCATTTAGATAGTAGGTTTTAACGCCACTTTATTGGTTGCTGCTCATGCCTATGAGAAACAGAGCACGTCCAATCACCTCGCCCGTACACAGAAGACCCGTCACTTCAGGGTCATTTGGGCGCTCTTCTCTATTATTACGCGGCATCTCATGCCTCAGGACATTGAAGAAAATTACCTCTGTGCTGGAGAGTTCTAAATAAGCTTTACTTCCGGCTAAGCCAACAAACGACGCCATAAAAAGCTATCTGTGTTATCGGGATTCGTTCTTTTATTACACAACTCTAGGTTTCGAGGATAGTTACCTAGATGTTACATTTGGCGATCGATTTCGATCACTTTTTTCGATTCTGTACTGACGGCCCAATATCTGTTTCAAACAGATAGGGTTATCTGCAGTGTCGTTTGATGTTCATTTCGTTTTGTTGCGATTTCGGTGCACAAAGTAAAGAAAGTGGAGAAGTTCATTTCAGATATTGTATGTTTTGGAATCAATAAATGGATACTTTGTGGTCCCATTGTCAAGAGAGTTTCTCTATCGTACAGTGTACACATTTGATCTCGGCATCTGTCTTCATGTGTCATTCTAGTGATAGGGATGTCTGTCTAAGTATGAAAGCAATTTCTATCCTGAGAACAAGCAATTATTAAGCAGTTGACGTTTGAATGAGTATTTAAACATGAAAAAATAATAGAAAAAAAACCTGGGTTTTGTCAACAGTCAACTCTGGTTATAACTAGTGTATTCGAATATATTAATATATTGCTTTAATATTATAGTTGAGTGACTTTCTATTGTAGGGAATTATCAATAATTATTATAACAATCTTTTAAAACCGAATGTTTCACATAAGCGTTTAAACATTGAGTTTAAGAACGTTCCTCCACACGTGACATTTTATTGCTGCATTGACAAAATGATATGACGTCAGTACCAAAGAGATGCAGATGTCAGAACTTTAGAGAAAACATGTTATTTATAAGAGAAATATGTCTATGCGATAGTCCCGACGCAGCCAAAGTTCTACTGACAAGCATATTGACGTTTGTCAAAAGTACATTTCCAAGTAAATTTGTGACCGGTTGTTTTGTCTCATAAATCCTAATAGATGCGTCTCTTTTTCGTTAAATGCTACATTGTACGTGTTCATAATTGTAATAGCCAGTAGTTTGTTCTATTTCTATGTTTATTGTAGATGAAATTAGGCCCGGAGAGGTGGCTATTATACCCATTGATTTTCTGATAGACAAAATCGAAAACTGGTACAAAATAACTTTTGTCATAAAACCTGCTGGTGTGACAATCATTTACAGGTCATTCTTAAATTGTTGGTGTATGTATGTATCGCCAAAAGAACTAATAGAAAAGGAAAACTGTATAGAGTAAACTTAATAAATTAATGTGTTTTTAAGGCAACTGTCAAAGGCAACAATATGAATCACCATGGTGCCCAATAAAGCATTTTACCACAAACACGTATCCATACCGTATCGTCAAGGTGCTCTTTTGTTTATTACAATCGACTTCATTAAATGGGGACATCTTATTAAGGGTCCAGAGCCGAGTAACCAAAACAAATAGATTGAACATTATAGAATTCATCCATCTAACTATCTCAATGTTGATAATCAAAACTATTATTATATTAGTTTCATTGGTATAAGTACATGTGTAGATATCACTATTTTGACTTGGACCATAGGTTCCAGTGTTTATTTCAGGTGAACAATTGACTTGCCTTTGTATGTGTTTGTGACGGGGGCCACCGTTAGGGCAGGATACGCTCACATTTTCGAGAGCACCTGTTTTCATCACTATTTGATAGTGATTCATAAACAAGTGTTCATGATATAGTCTGAATCGTACAATGCACTCTTAAGTAGATATTTATGATTATGGAACTGTTTTTTTGCGCTTTTTATTTACAAATGAAACGTTCTGTTTTATTTTTCAGGACGAAAAGAATCAGATTCTTACAACCAATTGCTGGCTGAACCAGGTGAGTCCATGCAGCATGTAGGACGTACAAGAAAACTTTAATTCCTGACCCGTGAAGATCCGGGGTAGAATAGGTCTTCAGCAACCCAGGCTTGCCGTAAAAGGCGACTGAGCTTGTCGTAAGAGGCGACAAACGGGATCGGGTGGTCAGGCTCGCTGACTTTGTTGAAGCATGTCATCGTATCCCAATTGCGTGGATCGATGCTCATATCAATCACTGGATTGTCTGGCCCAGACTCGATTATTTACAGACCGCCGTCATATAGCTGGAATATTGCTGAGTGCGGCGTAAAACAACAAACCAACCAGCCAACCAACTTGAATTCCTGACGACAGCATCGTATAGAATAGTATCGTGTGAAGGCATTCGGGTTTTTTTTACAGAATATCATCATGGGAGGAATCCATCTTATCAAGTTGAGAAAATCATCTTGATTTCATAAATAAGTGTTGTCGATTGCGGGATATAATGATATGACGATATCGCCAAGAGGGGGATATCAACTTGTTGGTATATCATATTACAAAGATATCATCTTATCAGGATGTAATCATGGCATGAGCTTTTGTATGCTACTCAAAAGAAGTTAACGTCCACCCAATTTTCTTTTCATTTTATCTTCTTTTAAGTAGTATATGAGAGAGTACATATTGGGTACAATGATAATTTTGATATATGAAAAAGTTGAACGATATTCTATATATCCCAATCAGAATATAACGGAATGTATTGTAAAGGGAATCATTCATACACATAACGAAACAACAGTGTGTTTGAACATACTAAAATTACACCGTTACGATAAAGCTGATACAGTAAACTACGGTTATATCGAACTCAAAGGAACCACAAATTCTAGTTCGTTATAACCGTAATTCGTTATAAGCATATGTACAGCAGAGATACAGCAAAAGGCAAGGGCCTCAAAATCAGTTCGTTATATCCACCAGTTCGTTATAAGCGTGTTCGTTATAACCGTAGTTTAGTGTATTTTGAATACAATTTATGATTACAATTTATTCCATTGTAATGCGATTTGACAATATATGGTTGCACTGTACAATTAACTTAAGCGTGCCATTGTATTAAATCATATTACAACACAATTCTTGCACATACATACACAGTACTACGGAAGAAACGGGTGGTCACTTTAAGAACCGAATACAATGGTTCTTAAAGTTCTACACTGTCCCGTTGAGATTCTTGTGTAGGATCGGCCCGACGCTTCGCTGTGATTATGAAGGCAATTGGCTAAAATGATGCGACGAAATGGATCGGTAGGTCAGGCTCGGTGACTTGCTATCGGTTGATTGTGTGTCATCGTGACCCGAAATAGTGGATCGTTTGTCGTGCTTTCAATCACTGGGTATCTGGTCCAATTTCGATTAATTGCAAGCAAGCTGGAATAGTGCGTTGTAAAACAACATTCACTCACTTGTAACACAGTACAATGCAAATTGTATATCAATACAATGTAAGAGTGTATTGTACTGCAATACAGTGTAACATCCTTATAGTAATACAACTCAGTTGTAACATTATATACATGTAGCAGTATAATTTACTGAACAGCACAAATTCAAACAGTATAAGAGCACATAGCTGCATACGAGAGCTTGTCAAAAAGTTGTAAGCCTACAAAACCAACAATTCTGACAGTGTTTTTGATTTGATTTTTTAACATAATTTCACTGCTTTAATACTCTTCTCATATCGATAGTGAAGCTTTTAATTCCAGTCAGGAAGAAGTTTTCTGAAGCCACGCTTCAAATGTAGCGACAAAACCCTTTCCATATCCAATAGAAAAAAAACATTCGCAGCATCGTAGTCGTCATAGCGCTCTCAACGAAGGTGTTCTTTCAGTTAAGGAAACAGGTGGTAATCACTTGGTGCCAAGTCTGGCGAGTATGGAGGGTGAGAAAGCTCCTCGAACCCACGTTGTCGCACAGTAGCCTTTGCAAGTCGAGAGGTGTTGAGAAAAGGCATTGCCATGAAGTAGTAGAACTACAGCAGTCAGCATTCCTCGCCGCTTTTCTCTCAGGCGATGAAGCAAATCAGCATAGTAGGCACCGGTAATCGTATTTTGACTTTCTAAGTAATCAACAAGGATCGCACCCTTTGCATCCCAGAGTACAGTGGCCACAACTTTCGTCGCCGATCTTCGAGACGAGCAGATATTTTATTCATATGTAAATGTTTATGAATAATAGCTTCAATGGATCCATGGCTTCCTCGGCAATGGTAATACGTCTATCTGACAGTATAAGTTTTTCTATCTTCTTGATTGAATCTTCATTGATGGAAGTTGAGGGACGTCCAGACCTAGGGTCATCATCAAGTCTTGTTCTCCCAGCCTTAAACATAGCTGCCCAACGTTTATCAGTAGAATAGCTAAGGCACATATCTCCATACACTCCATATACTTTTCTCTAAAGTGCAAAACTTGATGACTGCTCGGTACTCGTTCTTTTCCATTGCTGTGCTCATTTGGGCCCCCACTGGCTGTCACTAATATACAAGGGGCCTCATCAGACCAAATAAACTTGCAATGAACTATTCAAACAATATACATTGACTAGTTCACTTCGGTATGTCCCATAGTTTAAGAGTAGTCAGGCTTATAACATTTTGACCAGCTCTCGCAGTAATATAATATGATAGCACATAGTAATGCAGTATAGCAGCACATCGTAAAACAATAAAACAGCCCATATTACCACAATATAACAGCACATAGTAATACAATAAAACAGCACATCGTAATACAATATAATACCACATAGAAATACAATATATCAGCACATATTTGTACAAAATAACAGCAAATTGTATGACACTATAACAGTAACATAGGTGGTAATCACTTGGTGCCAAGTCTGGCGAGTATGGAGGGTGAGAAAGCTCCTCGAACCCACGTTGTCGCACAGTAGCCTTTGCAAGTCGAGAGGTGTTGAGAAAAGGCATTGCCATGAAGTAGTAGAACTACAGCAGTCAGCATTCCTCGCCGCTTTTTTCACAGGCGATGAAGCAAATCAGCATAGTTTCGGTGTAGATTCTAACACCGTTATCAAGCAAATGATGTACAAACTAAGTATGAGCATGATATATATACATAACAATAGATAGATTGTTTATATAAACATCTATCTATTGTTATGTATATATATATATATATATGTGCTGTATAGATGTTGTACATATGCTTCTAACGAACTACGGTTATAACGAACTAAATTAAGTGGAACCTTTGAGTTCGTTATGACCGTAGTTTACTGTAATACAGTATGATAGCACATAGCAATACAATATGATGTGAGTGAGTATGGTTTTACGCAGCGTTTAGCAATACTCCAGCACTACACAGCGGGGGACACCAGATATTGGCTTCACACATTGTACCCATGTCGGGAATCGAACCCGGGTCTTCGGCGTGAAGAGCGAACGCTTTAACCACTAGGCTACCCGACCGCCCCTAATATAATGTAACAGTGTATAGCAATAGAGTACAATATATAACAGCAGATACTAATATGAAACACTGTAACTGTATGTAGCAATATATTTTGTCAAACGAGATTTGTTCGATGACTCGTGGTGCCTTGAAGACAAACAGTGGCATCCGATTCTAAGAACGCCATGCATTAGTGTATACACATGGCGAGACAGGGAGACGGCCCTACACATACTTTACCTAATCTAAGCTTATTCTACTTCATAAAAGCAAGTTCATTGCCAAGTAATATATATCATTGCATTCTAAAACTTTTCAAGTTCTTTTATTCATTTCCAATAAACGCAAATGTGAATATGGCCTATCTGCACTGATGGTTGGAATCACTAGCACTTACACTGAATGTGTTAGTTTGCTGAAGCGTTGAATGTCTTATCAGTGTAGACATAGTCGCACAATCTGACTCATTACGTTCCCGTACCGGTAACATTACCCCTTCAGACTAAATAAGTACAAAAAGTGTGTAACCACCTAAGGCAAGGTATGGCGTTAAGATGGTGTCATCCCACCCTGCCTTGGCTGGAACCAATAATGAGCTACGGTAACTCCAACGTTACCGACATTTCTATATTCACTAGATATTCCTCCCAAGGTTATTTCAGCTAATAGGATAATATTGACGAAAACAGACAGTCAATTTGTCTGCTTATTCCCCCTTCTTAACACAGCTCGGGGCGTACGTTTTGAAATTTGGTTGATCGTGCACATTCCCAAACGTGCCAAAACTTGACATTGCAGTTGGCTTCAATTGTTCATGTGATTACCGGAATCAAAATGCAAAAAACTATTGCCAAAACTGTCTTCGTTCTCCAAGAGCTTTACAAAGTTTCTAAATTCAGAAAATCTTGGTTATTTTCTTTGGGCAATATCTGGGCAACGTCAGTTCCCTTGTAGATGATGCCAACAGTAATGATATGATTCCATCTCTCCTGACGTAGGATCGAACCTACTAAAGTGTAAGGACATAACAGTGTTATTTTGATTAGTCTGTGTGAAGCGGGCCATTCTAATGGTGTTTCTCCGACCAGGAATGCGGGTCAGCTTTTTCCAGTAAGAATTCATACATTCGTGCAAGAATTCGTAATAAGGTTATGAAGCATGTTTATTTGCATCATTAGAGGGCTAACCTAATTGTGTTCTTGCTTTGATCTTGGTTGCCGTTATGTTTAATCAGTCAATTGATTTCGAGAAATGCTTTAAGAGCTATCCAATCAGAAAAAATAAGTTAACCCGATAAGACGTAAAACACTCACAACGTGACAAATACTTCACGTTGACTGGACCCCGTCTACAAATTAGCTTCATGCCTTTGCTTTATGTTCGCAGACGTGATGTAGGCTTAATTGTGGTCCAATATGGGGCATATATCGTCACGAGTTACTGTATATCATTTCAGGATGATTTAGTATTTGTAACTTTTTATTTACAAAATCGAAATTCAAGCATTCACTGTGGAATTCTAAACATAATTTGTTCCAGAAAGTTGTAATATATTCCATAATGTGTATGACATAGGGAAGAGGATACCTGTTGGAGCCTTGGGACCACCTATCTTACCTTAGCACGCGCACGCACGCACGCACGCACGCACACACACACACACACACACACACACATACTCTCTCACACACTCACACACACAACACACACTCCAAATTCTCTCTCACACACACACACAATGACAATATAATTTATCCTTCACATATCGTTTATTCGCTAATGTGGTTCGTTAATTTAATCAAATGTCTTCTTCGAGAAGGATATTTGCCGAGAAAAAAGTACATATTTGTCGTTGCACATGTGTGGGGCAGGGTGTTGTCCTACTGACGTTGCTCATGATGTCAACCGCTGGATTGTCTGGTCCAGACTCGAATATTTACAGACTGCCGTCATATAGCTGGATATTGCTGAGTGCGGCGCTTAGCAACAAACAAAAAACAAAAAAACCTAATGACGTTGTTGCGCCAAAAGAAATGCGGACCATTGAAACATATTGAGAAGTATGTACGTAAAGAAGAGATTTTTCCAACGTGTACCACTTAATGACAAAACTGACAATCAGACAAGTGCTACCACAGAGTGTCTTTATTCTCATCGCGATATGCTGCACATTGATTTCCAAACTTTACACGCTAATCCTACACGAGACAAATGGTGCATCTCGAGTCATGGATCTATGACGTCACATGTGATGCGTTTATGATTTGTTTGTTTGTTGTTTAACGCCGCACTCGGCAATATTCCAGCTACGGCGGTCTGTAAATAATCGATTCTGGACAAGACAATCTAGTGATTGATATCATGAGCATCGACCAACGGAATTGGAATCAATGACGTGCATCAACCAAGTTAGCGAGCCTGACCACCCGATCCCGTTAGTCTTACGACAAGCAGAGTCGCTTTTTACAGCAAGCGTGGGTTGCTGAAGACCTATTCTACCCCGGGTCGACGCGTTCATGAGCGTCGGTTCACACCACATAACAGAATATTCGTTTGTGCATCGAACCAATCTAATATCACTTGAATATGAGTATTTCTTCATATATTAACCAACATGTATGGTGTTCGCGTTTCTTTTGTCGGTGAGTATATCTATTGTAGCCATTACGCTTGACCTTTCAGATGTGGCTGGATTACGGCTTGAGGTGGGACCCTGAAAAGTACGGGGGCATCAAGGTGATCCGTCTCCCCCACGACTCCGTGTGGCGACCGGACATACTGCTCTACAACAAGTAAGTCTTCCCGGGGCCTCCTGTTTCATTGTCTTGGGGTGTGGGAAATATGTGTAAGTAATTTCTTCACTATACCAGCTTCTGATCCGGGGTCTGTCAGCACGACATCCGTTACTTACGTACCGCGTTACGTCGGGTTTTACTCCCATTATAACCGGGCATGCTGTGATATAATAGTGAATGAGTGAGTTTGGTTTAACGCCGCTTTTAACAGTATTCCAGTTATATCACGGCATGTCAGCTTAATTTGGGAGGAAAGCCCGAAGTGATGCAGGTCTCAGACGTTTACCACTTCGGTGAAACCCACGAGCACGGGTATGGTGCTGACAAACCTAGAAACATAATCGGGGCGAACCGGGATTCGAACCCACAATCATAGGTTTCTTGCGTGCCCAAGGGACGCAACTCTGCATAGCGAATCGCGGCGCCTTAGACGACTGGGCCACCCATGCCCCCGTGATGTAATAGAAATAACGTTCAATGCGGTTAAAATCAAGTGGTTCATCCTTTCTTTTCTCCTCATCTACAAGGTGTATCGCAGCATCACACGTGACATCGCAGGGCGATGCATGGCGGGGAACAGTAACACCGCATTATATACATCATGTTCATTATCATATATACATCGTCAACAGTAAAATTGTTCGTGTAAACCAATGTATCTTACCATTAATATTTGTCCCGGGAGCATTATTGGGGAAGTTGTTTAAGACACTGCAATGCACTGTATAGAGTAGCGTCCCTTTCTTGTTCAAGGATGCGAATTCAAGATTTGATTATGAATATTTGTGTGTCAGTACCATACCGTGCTCGTGGGTTTTTACCAAGGTGGTAAACGTCTCGGTTCACCTCCCATATCAGGATGACACGACGCGATATAACTGAAATATTGTTCAATCAGCTTTATGACCGCCTCCGTGGTCTAGTGGTTGAGCGTCCGCCCAGAGAGCGGAAGGTCCGGGGGTTCGATCCCCGACCCTGTCATACCAAAAGACGTTAAAAGATGGTACTTGTTGTTACCCTGTCTGGCGCTCGGCATTAAGGGGCTAAAACAAGGACTGGTCGGCTCGGAGTCGGTATACAGTGTTTGAGTGGGGTATTCATGTTATGCGGTATGGTATCTCAGTGGGCTAGCACTATGAATCGGCATCAGTCCGGACTAGTACAAGCAGCCACACAAACACACACACACGTACATGCACGTCGCTATATAAGTGCAATAATCTTGGACGCGACGTTAAACCCCATTTCACCTCACCTCAATCGGCTTTAACCCAACTGACTCACGAACTCGTTTTGTCGTGGCATTGGCTGGCTCATCAGGTAGTGCTTTCACATTTCAATGAAGTAACCAGGTTCCGCTCTGTTATGGATACGTTGTAATATTCATTCTAACGTCCCCTCTATGATGTAGCTATGTTACATTTCACCGGCCCTCATCAAAACCTACACACAACCCAGCTTACTCAATCCCTCACTCAGTCCATACAGTATAGCATTAACGACTGCACGTCAGCACACAGGAAACGTTACCGTGACCTTCACCTTAACTCTATTTACCTTCACCTTGCAGCGCCGACGTCTCCTCCTTCTTCTCTTCAATAAGTTCCAACGTGATCGTCAACAACGATGGCAACGTGACGTGGTTGTCAATGGTGATCTTTAAAAGTTCGTGTTCTATCAACGTACGTTATTTCCCATTCGACGAACAGAATTGTTCCCTGTTGTTTTCTTCGTGGACTTACGACGGTTTGCAACTGGACCTCATCATGAATTCTCCCCATGGCGACACGTCCAACTACATCCACAACAGCGAATGGCTGCTCGTCAAGCTATTGGTGAAGAGAAACGTGGTGTACTATTCTTGCTGTGACGCGCCGTACCCGGATATAACCTACTATATTCACATCAGGCGACGCCCGCTGTTCTATATATTCAACATGATATTGCCGTGTATATTGATAACGTTGGTGGCGTTGTTAGGGTTCTATATACCCTCAGACTCAGGAGAGAAGGTGACAATGGGGATTACGACGTTGCTGTCGATGACGGTGTTCATGATGTTGGTGACGGAGAATATGCCTCCGACGTCGGATGTGCTACCTCTTATAGGTAAGTCATGACCTCTTATTGACGGGTGCCATCGATGGGAACGGTACGCACGTCTTTTCCCGAACACCCGGTGTCATATCTATATGGTTGTGATTCATGAACACATGCTTATCATACACATTGTAGTCACAATCTGCTTCCATCGAGATTGTTTATCATTATGGAAAGGATTTTGTCGCTTTATATTTATGATAAACGTCAGATAAGCAGCTTCTTGTAGACCGTAAGTCTTGACCCTTTCTTTATGATAGACATCGGATGTGCTACCTCTCATAAATTATTAACCCGTGAAGATCTGGGTTAGAATAGATCTTCAGCATCCCATGCTTGCCGTGAGAGGCGACTAACGGGATCGGAAGGTCAGGCTCGCTGACTTGGTTGATGCATGTCATCGTATCGTATCCCAATTGCGTGGATCGATGTTCTTGATGCCAATCACTGGATTGTCTAGTCCAGACTCGATAATTTACCAACCGCCGTCATATAGCTGGAATATTGCTGAGTGTGTGCGGCGGAGTTAAACAACAAACAAACAAATCATAAATTATGATTTATTACTCTAAAAAGGGTCTATCGGTTCTTTCATATTACTAGTACTATCGTTAATCTGTCATGTCAGCTACATGTGCAGTGATGTGATAAAATCGATTGACCCTTAATTTTTGTTCAGTTGTATTGATAAGTTCTGATCTATTTGTTTATGACTTACGTCTGAAGTGATGCCTCTTATTTAGTTCTGATGAAACATTTATAAAACATTTAACAGTAGTATTTTAACAGGTTTGGATGTTTTAGAATATTTTGGTATATGTGTTAAGTGATGATATGAGCATTGTGAGATATTTAATTAGCATTGGTCATGATCATGGTCACCCTCAGTGAACTTTCTCGTTATGGTACAGTCCGTGTGGCATAGCTGCCCTTGACCTGTTAAAACCTATGTACGTGTACAAGCGCTGAAAGGCGGCCAAGGAGCGTGTATCACAAGCGCTGTTTAATCCCATTACGAGGCTTACATTATCGTGTTATTTTTAGCGCCACAGGGTTTTTTTGTCATATAAGCCCAACTGGTAGTAATATCACTGGTGTCATGTGCAGAAGGGGGAGTCCCCGGTGGCATATTTAGACCACGTGTTACTTTATGTCTTCCAGTCTTTGGTTACCGCTCGATGGCTTCCTCTAAGATTCTCTAGCAAAGGAAATGCCAAAGTGTTCGTTCGTCATACCGACAACTCGAACTCAATTCCTACGCGGAATGTTACAGTTTCTCCATCACTTTTTCGATTGAGGTTTTTTCGATTGATACCTCAATGAACCTAACCCAATTCACAGTCAAACCTTATAATTAAATTCAACGTCGATAACATGTGCTATGTACAATTGATTAATGAAATACAGTTACATAAATCACAGTAGACAAAAACGACGAGATGGATAAACATTTCAGGCGTAGAATTACATACTGTGGCCTCACATCAATCAGGTGATTGTTTAAGTTATGTACATAATTTGACACGCCCACAAAGTCAGCAGCCAGTCAACATAGAGTAACATGAAACAAATTCATAGTACCTGTCAATCAAGATCAGGAACTGCAACAGCCAGACTGTAACGAACCGGAACAAATATGTCCGGGAGAAGGCGGCTGTTTCAGATAATTGGTCAGAAACCGCCAGATTCAAACATTAGTTCCCTGAGAACTACAAGACACAGTTGGAAACATGCGAGTTAGAATTCATTTCAAACCTGCATTATTCCGACTGTGTAAAAATGTTGATCCCAGGCGAGCGACTAAAAACACCAGTAGAGCGAGCCTGCACGTTTGCTGTTTTATACCTTCTCGGCCTTTGGTCTCGAAAGGTGGTTCGGACAATGACTATGCATGAGTTTCGCTCAAGAGTCCTGTGCCGAATGATACAGGTGAGACGAAGGGGGATTCCTGTAATTGGGAGTCCCCGACATTCCGTTCTAGTAAATACAAGATTTATGGATGAAGAACTTCTTAATTACAATTAGGAGCTACGTTATTACGGTGTAGGTTCTAACACCGTTATCAAGCAAGTGATGTACAGTGTATGGTTGACAAGTATATATACAGGCAGGAGGCATTGTGTATACAATTGAGAAGGGGGTAAGATGCAATTACACTGGAGTGGAGAAGCCTGTTATGTACACAGAAGTTTATGTACTTGTCAACCATATTCTGTACAACACTGGAGAGGTCGGGTAGCCTAGTGGATGAAACGTTCGCTCGTTTCGCTGCCAGGGAAGACTTCACTGACAGCACTGATCACATCTGGGGAGAGTTCTACACCAGTCCTTGCACCAACAATGTCCTTCAACAATCTAAATAATCTAACACAAGTCTGCTTGGTCTTGTTTGGGAGCAGCGAAAATGCCACAGGATACATTTTGCCATCCACCAGACAATGAATAATGTACACCTGCAATCACAAGCTAGGGCAAACAAAGAAAGTACCATCCATAAACATGATGTCAGCTTCACTCAGTATTTCCAACACCTCAGTGGTTGCAAACACCAGTAGTCTGTCATCTACGCCGTCATCTACGTACAGGAAGTCTCTGCCATCGTCTGTCTTGGTCCGTGGATCGTCCAGGTTGACGTTGGCTCTGGATTCAGGAACTGGCGGAACCGACTTGGCTCTATGTCTGTACAATGCGGCTTGTACAGTGGCAAAGGGTTATAATACCCATTGATATGATAGGGTGGTACAACTGACCATTATAAATATTGTAGGCCATATGGGGTGTAGGCGATATGAGGGCAAGCCCCAGATTCGATCTCCTCTATATCCCATCTGAAATCATTAAAGGAAGCCATTAAGCGGTACCCAAAGGCTGGAAGACTTATTATAACACGTGACTTTAATAGCTGAAAATGGAATTCCTGTTGTGCACAGGACACCAGTGTTAAAGCAACCAATTAAGACGTCTGTGTAGAAATGTAATACGTCAACACCTGAGAATAACCAGTCTCGGTTATATGGGAGGCATTTGGAATTAAGCGCATGGAATGAACGCTCGGTGGCTATTCTGAAGTTACTACATGTACACAATGGCTCACTGAAGTAAGAAATGCTAGTATTTCGTATTTATTCATGAGTCGGGGAGTCCGCAACCTCAAACGGAGTGTTAAGTCACATGGTCACATAGAATGTTGAGCAACGTGAATATTTCATACACTATATTGGAATCCGGTCTTTTGAGCTGTAATTCTCTCCAAGGAACCGTTACTCGTTTCGCTGATTAAGTCGCTAATGAAACTCCTTGAATTGATTAGGAAGAACCTTTGCAGATACAAAAAACATGCAAGCAATCGGACAATTGAAATTATTTTAAAACAAAAGTGGAATCAAACGAGGATTTTTTACCAACTTCACCATTTTTGCTCAGTTTGATATCGGCTTTTACATTTGATAAAGTCGACTCACGGAGCTCGTGCTATCAAAGCTCAATTTCATTCCAGGGCTTCCAAGGGGATCGTTAAATATGAGTTTCAAAGTGATGCAATCACACGATATTGCGATGTAAAACTGTCGAAATCAATACTTGTTTAGTATGCCAAGTAATTATGGTTGGTCTCCGAGGATAATGACATTTGCCATTTTGTAGTTGGATTCATCTAGCTTGTTTTAATTATTAAGATCGTGTTCGGACGAAATAATATGTTTTTGTAGACAGGGACAACGTTTGATGAAACATATTATTATTTTCAGGAGCAATAATTACGCATGTTCAAATCATTGAATTGTTCTGAAACATGGTTTAGTTTTGGACTTGTATTAGCATGCTGACCTTGATACTCTCACCCATTTCATCTCTCGATTCAACAGGGATTTCCAGCAGAGTTTGTGTGGCTCAGTCACGTACACGTAGGCACCACTCTGTAATTTTGGTCCAATAGGCGTGCCTTGATCCTGTGTTGGTGTGTTTGAAATCAGGATCTTACCCTGAGGAACATCCTTCGTTTATAAGCGACATAAACGGTTTCATCAAAGTATTAAACCTCTTTGGCCTACATTACTTATGAACATAAAACAATGTTAATAGTTTTAATCAGCATTATTCTGATTCATACACAGAACGATATATGAACTGCGGGCTAAAGAAATATACCTTTGAAAATTGGATTTGGCTAAGAAATGCAACCGTTATAAAAAAAGTTACTTGGATGAAAACAGTCGCCGACACACTTCAAAACTTAATCTCCCAAAACACAACTATCAAATACATCACCGTCGAATAAGCACGATGTCTTGATTGTTTCATTTTTAGACACCATCAAATAGGGTGTATACAACGATGATGAAACAACGCCAATAGGAGGACATCACCCTGGCCAACCCTTGTGTCACGGGGCACCATCGACTAACCAATTTTTGTTTGTTTCATTTTCAGCTATCATCTAACATGGATGTATATATTCTCTTGCCCAGCAGTTAAGCTAAAATGCTGTTCACATTGGTCTTCAATCAACTCACTGTTCATCCCAAGTAGCTATATGGCTAATGCGATCACTTTATCCTGTGTTGCAGGGATCTACTACGGTATGACGATATTCATCGTTTCCTTCGCAACGGGTATGACAGTGTTCACCCTGAATATTCACCACAAAGGCACAAGGGGTAGAGAGGTACCAAGCGTCATCAGGAAGATCGCTTTCAGCTGCCTGGCGAAGATGTTCTGCATCAAAGTACAGCGCGCAAAAACACCTGCAGCAACTGCAGTGGTAAGTAGGCAAGATGGTTGTGTCGAACTCTTAATTGTGTCGAAGGTCCTCGTCTACTTTGGGTATTACAGACACCAAGTTATTATAAATAATGTAATTTTAAGCTCATTATTCATGTGACCATCCTGGGGCTACGAGTTGTATCGAATTATCCGTTGTTCGAGACAAGCGACAGCAAGATACTGGATATAGCGAAACCAAAGGATCGCGTTACCTGTAAAACTGCAACCCTTGCAGAGAATCTCGTGTTTGATTGCAACCATAGTATTTAATTACGTGTTGAATGAATTAATTGTAAGATTTCAAACCTAACAGTGAATTACGTATTAGATTGCAACCCTAGGTGTTAACAGATGTATTCCATATCGACCCTTTTATTGAATTACGTGTTAGATCGCAAACAAAACATGGAATTACTTGACTGTTATATTGCAACCCTAGTTTTAAGTTACGTGTTAGATTGAAACCCTTGTATGAAATGACGCGTTGGAATGCAACGCTAATGTTGCATTACGTGTTAGATTCCAACCTTAGAATTGAATTTCATGTTTGACTGCAATCCTGGTATTCAATTCAATTTCTTTATTCAACGTACTGAGGAGGCCACAGGCCTATAGTACAATCATGATTACAGGAGCAATTGGTACAATCATATAATTTCCAAACTTGATTTTCTTTGTATAAAAGCATGATATATGTACATAGAAAAAATTCTGATGGTTTCAGTGTTGCTAGTGGTCATTAATAGTTTAAAATTAAATGTACAATGGTTTACATAAAAATATTTTGGTAAATATATTTTTCTTAGTTCATCATAATGCGGGCATACTAGTAAAAAGTGATACTCGTCCTCAATTAATCCTAGGTCACATAGTGGACAGAGTCTATTTAATCCTTGTATTCAATTACGCTTTAGATTGCAAGCCAAGTATTAAACAACGTTGGTACCGGTGTAACATTGTGTAATACATCTTGCTAAAAAAAGAAACACTAAAATACACAGCGCATCATGTTATGCAATCGGGTTATTGCAACAATAACAGATGGGGATGCTGACTGAGATATCCTGATCAATAGTACGTTAATCAGCTTGCTCCCACCCCCACTCCTCCCCCTCCCCCCTCCGACCCTCCCCCTCCCATTGTTAATGTGTAAACGGGGTGACCCCACTGAATCTGCTTCTATCAGACTCGCTTACCTAATGTTTCAGTTCACACCAGACTGCAATGGAACGACCGGAAGTAGTTCCTACATCCGCTTTAAAATGGCGCCTCAAAGCGACCCGGAGAGTGTGCCATCAAAGACAGTTGTAAGTTTCCTGTTGGGTGGGATTTATGTATATGTTGCTGTGCAGTAAATCAAGACCCAATCTCATCAGTAACAGTGACGTTAACGGTTAGTGCTGGGATGCTCATAAGGTGAAATTAGACTTAGACTCTTAATCAGCTTACACATCGTTCGTGGTGTTAAATCAACTGTTATAATGATTGATGATTCGCAATAATCAAATAAATTATTATTTAATTTAAAAACGTTAATGGATTCAACTGATAATTTTTTTCAACGAACAAGGTCTGATGAATTATTGTATGTTTTGTGATTTTCTATCAATGTCTATAAAAGTTCAGTAATATTCTCACTGAAGTTGTCCGGATTATCAAATTTCGGGATGCATGTATTATGTTACGAAGTAATATGACACGGAGGAGTGCCCAGTTATCGTGAGGTAGGTGGGGTGTCCGGATTAATTGTGTCCGTATTAACGAGGTTCCACTGTTGCTGTCTCTGCGCGATATGTTTGGTTAGTACTGTCGCCCTTAATACATAAAATCTGGTTCGATTCACCACGTGGTAAAATGTGTTCCCGGTGAAGTAATGAAACACTATTACAAGCAGAGTATAACCCATGTGCAGTCACTCATTCTCCCACTCCCCGTGGGGCCCCGGGGTAACTGTGTCCCCACTGCTGGTTGTAAGAGGGGACTGAATTGGGCTACCCATGAAAATCCGGATTAGAATTGATCTTCAGTAACCTGTGCTTGTCGTAAGAGGCGACTGACTGGATCGGTGGTCAGGCTCACCGAACTAAATATTGCGTTAATGTGGTATGAACCAATAGACATCAGCACACACTCCCCACAGTTCACACAAGTTGTTTTACCCGTGAAGATCCGGGCTAGAAGTATGGATTAAAGCACGCCTCCGAGGTTCTGGTTGAAGATGTAAACCCGGGAGTCAGGGAAAAGCCCGAGCGCCGGGGCCCCCGTGGTCAGAGTTTTACTTTTTTTAACCTAAACCGAGGAGGCGTGTTTTATCCAACTTATGAACCGACTTAATGCAAGAAATAACAGAAAAAATGGACATACCTTATAGTGAAACAATACAGTGTATCGCGGTATAAAAGGAATTCGCTCAAAGCGTGCGATAGAAAAAACACGTGCAGCATGGACTAGCTGGAGTCATGACATGATAAACTAACTCAACATCTCGTAATCACCTGCCCCGGTAGCTCAGTACTAGTGGTCAAGCAGTGGTTACCAAACTTAACACGATATGTGATGTTGCAGGTTACAAAATTGTAAATTTTTAAACACTCATCAAACACAATTGTGTTCACATCAAGAGTCAAGTTAATTGTAAAACCTAGGTATTACAGTTGACATGTCTTCATCAGGTCCCGGACATTCCATCACAATGTTCCAGGTATTGTTGATATTGCCTACCAAGGAAGTTCCTCACCATTTAGAAGAACCTTCTGTTACTGTAGTATGATTTTTTGGGTTTGGTTTGTTGTTTTACGCCGCACTCAGCAATATTAGAGCTATATGACGGTGGTCTGTAAATAATCGAGTCTGGACCAGACAATCCAGTGATTTACATCATGAACATCGATCCACGCAATTGGGATCGATGACATGCATCAACCAAGTCAGCGAGTCTGACCACCCGATCCCGTTAGTCGCCTTTTACGACAAGCATAGTCGCCTTTTACGGCAAGCATGAGTTGCTGAAGACCTATTCTAACCCGGATCTTCACGGGTGACTGTAGTATGACGTCATCAGGGGTTTAAAAAAGATCTTCAGCAACCCAGACTTCTCGTTAAAGGCGACTAACGGGATCGGGTGGTCAGACTCGCTGGCTTTGTTGATGCATGTCATCGTATCCCAATTAATTACATCGATGCTCATGATGTCAATCACTGGCTGGTCTGGTCCAGACGCGAATATGTACAGGCCGCCGTCATATAGCTGGAATATTGCTGAATACGGCGTTAAACAACAACAAACATCATCTATGACATCGATACTCACTTGCACCATAATTCGTGTCATTTAAGTAAGGAATCATTTAGATCTCTGATCATAGACTCCCTGTAGCGTGCTATTTCCGTGACAAAGTTTTATGCCAAAGTATTGTAAGGGTCAACAAGTAAGCATTGCTTTTGTTTTCGTGCAGGATTTCAAACCCGGTGCCCCCGAGGTCCCGCCAACAATAGACATGGTGGATGTGAAGCTTGAAGACCCCTTGTCAACAAATGGCGGGTTCGGAACACACTTCCCTCGCTTCCGGTCTGGACAAGCCGGAAGTAGTGCCGTGGTGGAGAACTTTGAGCAACAATTCATGCGGGTTCTACAAAAAGTATATCAGACAATTGAACAAAACGAAATAAGATTAGCGGACCAGGACAGACGGGAAGCTATCAAAATAGAATGGCAGCAGGTTGCCCAGATAGTAGATAGAATGCTATTATCAGGATTTGTGGCGCTCACAATGGTTATAACAGGCGTTGTACTGCTCGGAGCACCGGCGTCTGTCAGCAGCATGACGTCATAATATGTGATACCGGTATGGTACGGGAGGAAGGTTGGACAGAGGACTGTGAATATTGGTCAACTTTACATACCACCATGTTGGTATTTTGTAGGAACAGCACGGATGATCTTTACTGAAATGCATTTGTTATAAAGTGCGAAGGTTGTCAATATCTGTCTCTGATTCACATTGGGAGGCTGTTTTGTTGTAATCGTCGTTGGATGCATGTTGCAGTTAAATTGGTAAATATTTTAGAAAGGGATAATGGACTTTTTAAGTTGTCTAGTGCGGATACGAAGTTAATGTGACTTCCGGTTCAGATATATTTCAATATGCTATTTGAAGTAACAGATTGCCCGTATCAGAGATCCAAAACGGTAAAAATAAGTCTGTTGTATGACCTACATTCATCTATCTGACTGTTTCGCTGAATACCAAGGTATTAACACTTGGTATGGTGGCATTACACTCGACGGTCTATCCAGGAGAGTCATCAATGGTTGGTTGGTGAATATACATATATTAACGGGCAATATGGTAACGTCACTTTTATCAACATGGTAACTTAATCTGACACGCCTAGTATATCTCAATTCTATAGACCCTAAAGAACCTACCAGGATCCGAATGTCGTGAGATTCTACCCATTATGGTTCTTGGTGCGTCAACAACCTAACTGTTTCTACAGTTCCTATTAATAACTGTACATGTTTACGACCTCATTCTCGATTGGTTTTCCTCCCAAATTGAGCTGTGAAATAACTTGGATATTGTACATTGCGACGTTTAACCAACCTTGCCCACTCATGTTTGACGATGACGACATTGTCAGTGGGAAAGAATGTGTTCATGCAGTATTCGGAACATACAGGCCTACAGGGCATGAACACCATGTGGCAGATGACCAAAAGCGCTGGCGCTTTTTACTATGCCTATATCCTTCTTGAAGGTTTGACCAGGTAACACTACATGTTTGACTAGGTGACACGACATGCATAACCAGGTGGCATTTTGTAACCAGAAGCTACATGTCCGACCGAGTGGCATTCCTTCTTTGAACGGAAGCTACATGTTTGACCGAGTGGCATTCCTTCTTTGACCGGAAGCTACATGTTTGACCGGGTGATACTGCATATTTGACCGGGTGGTATTTCTTGTTTGACCACGAGAAGCTACATTTTTGCCCGGGTGACTCTAGATGTTTGGCCAGGTGACACTACATGTTTGACTGGGTGACACTGTATATGCATGTTTGACTGATCGACACAAAATAGTTGACCAAGTACACTACATGTACATGATGACACCACATGTTTGAGCAGGTTGCGCTACATTAACATGTTTGACTGGGTGACACTAGATGTTTGACCCGGTGACGCAACGTACTTTTCCAGTAGCGTCACCCTGAGAAACATATGTTTCGATTCCCGTGTCCGCAGACTCCCTTATAACTTTTTGATACAACAGTTCACCGGAAAGTCCGCACGTTGTTCGCTGTTTCCATGGAGACGTTTTAATGGATAGACTTTAAAGGATTTGAAAAAAAGTGACTTGGCATCTTATTCATGATGACGATTCCAATGTGAGGATATATTCAATTGGAGCAAACACGTGGGACTGTGGAGATCAAAGTGTGTTGAGACGTTTCCAATCTGAAACTGATATATCAGCAAAGAAAGTTTCCCTGTATGCGACAGAACTGTACTGGCAAACCCTACTAATCCGGACTACACCGTTCCAAGTGAAATCTCCGGATTATCACATATCAGGATAAACGAGTTATTGGTATGTGATCACCCTTTAATATATTTATAACGTTCACGACTGTAATGATCCGGGAAAGAGGGGTTCTGGATTAATGAGGTTTGGCTGTATGTAAGTGGTTGTATTTCACTCCTTGCATTCTTAAGGTGCTGCACCTTGTCCGAGTTAGTTCATTCCACTACGTAATGACATTTGATCACGGAAGCATGTCACGTAAAGCAACCTTTTGGTCAAGAAATTATTTTTCTTGATGTCATTAATGATACGGATATTAATGAAGCGAATATATATATATGTTTGAACTTACTATAGGTGATAAGTTCAATGTAGATTAACTCTGACTTGCTTTGACTGATATGGGTTGTCAATATCTCGACTACGCTCGGAAGGGAATCCTCGAATTAACATGAAGATGGCTGCATTGGTGTTGGTACAGGTGAAGGTTTCTCTCATTCATGGTGGAGTAGCATCAAGGTAACGGCGTTGTATCCTCACACCAATGACCCGAGATCGATTCCCCTGTATGCAGTGCATGAAACACATTTTATTGGTTAAAAGTGTTGCCAACAAAGGATTCGTAACATTGCATTAAAGTTTAAAACAGAGAAACAAAACATATTCACAGCTGTCACTCCACCAGTCGAATCTGAGGCAAGAAAAGTTCAAAAATATTTTTGGTTCTCATGGCTTTTTCAAAACTGATAAGTTTGGGAGGGAGATTTTTATGATTTTCTTGGTAGGTTGCAAATTGTTAAGGGAAACGTCTTGTGTACTACTGAGCTCATTGTGCAATTCTCCATGCTGCTTGACGTATGAAAAGACAGGACAACGAATCGGACACACTATGATTGTGTGCAAAAAGTCGGAATGTAGGGCCAAAACGAGTTGAAAGCTTTTCTTAACAGTTTGAAAATATTACACTATTGGTAGTCTTTCAGATCCGAGAACATATATCTTATCAAACATATTGTTTGAATCACCATCAGGCTCTAGCAATCTGTTCTCATCCACTCTTCCTCAATGAGTGAGGATTCCGTTTTTTTAAAACGTTTACATAAGGCTGAAATTTTTTTTTTAAAAATTGGTTCTCAGGCAACGGCTTTTGAAAATATAGTGCATATACTAGCATGTAACCAAATAAACAATGCGTACAATCAACCTGGGAAAGGGCACCCTTACATAAATGTATTCCTTGATGAGTAAAATACTGGAATACAGTATTTGACTACCGTGGGACTTGGCATATTAAAGGATTTTTTTTACGAATGGAAATAAAAACAAAACGTGCGGCGAACTTTATGATGATGCAGGCAGTGCCTGAGAACAAAGACAATTATTATTTTTTTAGGCCAACATTATTGCCGAGACTGTGTGTGAGTGAGGATAAACAAGGACAAGGTTAGAGGCGGGTAGGTCAGGAGTAACAATAGTTTATTTCAGAAGGCTCATAATGTATTCAACGAGCTATCGGAATCAATTCATGATCAATGAACCAGAATTCAAGGTGATCAGATGTTATTATATATAAGTACATCTGTTCAGGTAATTTCAATTTACGAAAGACATATCTATATGTAATCTGACCTTGTACATTTTTATGCAAACGGTGTTGATGTTAATTTATTGCCTGTGTAAATATATCCGTTCAGTACGGACAGAATTCTCTGGCATATTTGAACAAGGGAGATAACTGGATCTGATTATGATGTTATAACACAATCTATTCATTTCATTGAAACAAAAATATATTTATGGTCACGTGTATGTGTATCATATTGACTTTATATTCGGGATTTAGCCCTGCTATGTACATAAGCTACACGTCAATCACCTCTACCGAGTGTAATACGCACTCATTAGATAACATCTCCCTTGAACATGTATATATATATATATATATAAATTACTTACATAATCTAATTGTTCGCATTGTAGAGGTATTCATTATGAAGCTTATATAGTTTAGTGTGTGGGTGATTTCTTCTTGGTGTAAGGTTATTATAATTTAACAGTATACATTTTCAGCAAAGGTCTTATTGTAAGAGACTATGACATCAACAAACACGTAGAGACACAATTCAGATTTCAGGTAGAATAGAGTCACCAGATTAGTTCCCACAACGACTGGACCAATGATCCTAATCTCGGAAGTCAGGATCAATCGTGATCATTCGGCTAATCCCGCTGACCACTTAAATACCTCAACACTGGCGTAGTGATATCACACAGTCATACTGGTCTGTATATCGCCAACATATAGTTCGCACATTGTGGTGGCGGATTTGGAAAACTGTTGACTATTTGGCAAACATAACTTATAGTTATTGCCTTAGATTGCAAACAGATCTTTCAGTAATTCTATCAGTGCCCATACTTGTGTTCCGGGGACCCTGTTGTGCGTTATATCATGTGATAATCACGTGACTGGAATTGGCTCCAGTGTGGAATACGACCGTGACTGTACAAATCGATTGTTCATTACCGTCACACTTCGACACATTCTCTGAACACACTATTTGTTTTTCCTTGGTCCTGAAACCAAATCGAATAATTATTGACCATCAAAATTGTTATATTTGTAATTAGAACGAATTCTGAAAGAAAAACGATATGTGACATTTTGTAGAATGTTTATTGTTGATTTGTATGATACTTTACAATATAGTCAATTTTAAGTTTGAATACTATCATATCAACAGCACATTTAGCGCTGCAGTGACCTTTTTTATTATCATAGTAATTCAATTGTCTCTCTGGATTTTTTTTATTTCTAGATTAGCTCACGTCATTCTTAATGCGGCAAAATTATTAAACCAGAATTTTGTACACAGCAAAGGCGGATACAGCACGTACCACACTTTGTTTGCTCTACCACATCTAGCGTCATGTGAACCTCGCAATTCAGAATTTAAAAGAGGGCTAAAAAAGAAAGAAAACATAAATTTCGAAAATAACAACTTAGTGCCAAGGGAGGCAGACTATTTGATATCGGGGTTAGAGTTGGTTGGGGGGGGGGGGGGGGGAGCTTGAAAGAAAAAAGAAATTATTTACGAAAATACTGGACACGTATTTTCCCCCTGGTTTCACACTGAACAAAATAGTTTATGTAAAAATATATAATTGTTAATTTACTTTTAGAAAAAAATGTATGTATTGATCCAGTATCTGCAACAGTCATCTGTCTCAAGCAAAACTCCCCCCAACCCCAGAATAAAAAGCAAGCTTGGGGGATGTGCAGTGATGTCTCATACCACAGGTCTCCGTTAAGGGATAAAGGAAAAGATAACAAAGGTATTCGCGTTTTACAAACCCAGACCCACGACAAGGGATCACGTCATTTTTTGGCCCCGATTTATCGCCCTAGATGACTTTGGCTGGTATTTGCTACGATAATATTAGGCGCTCTTTTTGGAGACTTGAACCCATGATAGGCTTAGTGCAAAGGTAGCTTTGTGGGACATGACCCACTCCCCCAAAGCAATATCTGCTCTACGACTATTGTCAGTTCGAACATTCGAGTTACATGGTCTTAATTCATGACGCCAGCCATTTAAACGTGTCTGACATAACAGTCATTAATCATTTGCACAACGAACTTAGACCTTGGCGTGTTTTGACAAAGATGGGATTTGAAATAGAAATTAGCTAAGACTAAAAAAGCGAGTAACATGCACGTGAACTGTCATTGCCAGAGAATAACCAGTTTTGATTTTCAAACGGAACAGATTACTTTGGGTGTAAAATGCAAAATATCTGCGAAAATAATGTGACTGGAAAAGTCATCACTGCCGACACTGGACATTGCGAAGTGCAACTAGATTAATGAATACATCAAACGCCGAGTTCCGATTGATGGTTCAGATTTGTGGTTACTGAACGCGCTTCATAGGACTCTGAGAACAAGGGCTACTTTCTAGAATATGCCAAGCATCCTTTCCTCGGTACAATGATTTGCATCCGTGTCGTGGAACTCTCGTGTATGTACTCGACATTCACAATTAAAGGATGGAAAAGAGTGATAGTGTTAATTAGCAAATTGATCCTATGGGTAGTGCTACATCTGTGTGGTGTATTCAGACAAATACAAGGATGCTGAAGCTATTAAGACATAATATACAGCTCATAACGCTGCTTGTGGCGTGTTTACATTTGTCCGGGATAAATTATTAATTCAGGATATGGGGGATTAATTTCGTTCAGGACACGTCTTTAATTGGGTTGGTGTTTGGAAGTGTGCGTTACCTTTGCTCGGGATCAAGTAATAATTTAGGTGATGGGGTATTAGGGTGGAGGTAGGTTGTGTGGGGGCGGTGGGGGAAGATTTTGGTGTTGGGTTTCTCGGAGGTGGGGGTGTAGATTATTATTCGTAGGGGCGGGTAGGGGTAGGATGTGTGTGTACATTCAGGTCGGGTAAGATTATTTATTAAGGCTATGGACAATTGTTTATCACTGCTGGAATGAACGTGCATTATATTAACAACGAAGAGAGACGCCTTTTGCTTTTTCCTTTACAATTCATATATTTATATTAATCAATCTTTCAATTCTTTCTTATCGAATCAGAAATCAGTTTACAGTCACTGTAGCACTATGTCATGTTTTTGTTTGACTTCAATGTCAAGTACAATGCTTTGAACACAGATGGCACACAAGGTACATCATTCTGAGATAGCTGATATGAGCGATGGCCAGATACGCGGGTGTGCAGGGACAACGATTTACTGAACTCCCGGGAACAGGAAGCATACACACATGTTTCATGCTGGCTGAAAAGGAAGCAAACACGAAATGGTTATACGATGCTCGTGTATTTGATACGGGCATTACAGTTGTGTTTTAAACCTTAAGTTTGCAATGTTTCGGCGACTGTTTTCGGCCTAGTAATGTTTTGATAACGTTTGTAATTTTTTGTTCAAAACCATTTTTTAAGTGTGTAATTTCTTCTACCCGGCAGTTTAGTATATAACTACCCCTTGACCCCTTCAATCCGTTTTTTGTGAGTCATCTTTATTTCCTCCCACTTGCGATCAGCAATATGCTTGTTGCGAACTACTGTCAACAATTCCCTGTTTCCTACGTGTGATTGAGTGTAATTATTCGTACATGCATCATTTCCAGAACAGTTACTTAAGACAGTGATAATCTGTTCGTCAGAATTAAAACCCCTGTTCTCTGGTAACCAAGGACACTAAATTTTCTTTCAAAATCCGGATACCCTTAACACGTGGTTGGTTCTTACGTACGGTCTGAGATAATATGTCAATATGAATTCCACATTTCCAGAACCTTTTTTATAAATATAACAGACTTTTTACTTTTGAATAATAGATTTGGACGAACACATAATCAGTTGTATAGCTTTATTGATTTAATTGTCTCTTTCAGTATGATTTAACTTGTACTTCAACACAATTGTTATAAAAAAGGGCTGTAAATATATTTCAAGACCCGTAAAAAATTGGTATGTCTTCACATTTTTCATCTCCACTAATACTAGAACACATTGTATCATGGTATTATTCTCCTTTGAAACAAATTGTCCAACAACCAACATTTATGCTGCATCGGGTGTAAGATTTTCAGCGCCGTGATATTACTGAAATACTGTTCCAAGCGGTGTTAAACGCTCAGTATTTCATGTACAGGGTGATATCCGTTTATGACGTCACAGTTGCTTCATCAGCTGTAACCCGGCATAAGTGCAATACAATGTAGATTCCAATCACTTCTCAATTACGAAATAAAGCATATTGCCATATCAAGCGTTTCACATTTCTTTTGTCTCAGATTGAGTGAGCCAGTATTATTAAACACGGGTTGGAGAAGTGATCTGAAGAAGTCACTGCAATGGATTGCTTCCCTTCACCGTGCATGGATCCTATGATCGTGGTTTCGTAAACCAAATATACTGCGACTGTGATCCTCCGTCCTCTCTATACTCGTGCTCGTGGGGTTCACCAAGTGGAAAAGGGAAAGGGACAAAGGGATTGCCATGACATAAGAAATCTGTCCATTGTACGAGACCGACTATCTTGAGTCTGTTTCCGGCATCCAAAAGACATTGACGCAGCTATTGTCCCAAGAAAGGACTAAGGCCAAATGATACCATTCATTTGGAAGATTTGTTGCCTCTCCTTCAGGAACTATTGGGACTGTAAGAAAAAGACTATATTTGGTGCCATAGAAGGAAATTAAACGACTCCAGTAACGTTTACTGATGGTTGTACACTAACAGCCTGCAGTATCGACTAGAAAGTATAATTCTTGATATATTGCTTTGAGAAGTTCGAACAAACCAGAAACACATTCCGCGCATGTTTTTAAGTTTGAACTTTGGGAACCAGGGAATTGATGCCATAAATTTATGTAACATCCTCAGAAAAAAATAATAATTCAAAATGTCCCACATTATTTAAAATTTCAGGAACCACCAACAATTGCATTTTTCAATACGAACACAATTTCATCCAGGTTGTTCAATTATAGGAACGTGTTGCTGTACGTGGACTTTTGATGTAAATTCCACTACGTGTGGCTGCCAAGACTCATCATTCTGCCAACAACCTGTATGCCATATACTCACAGGTGACTTCTCTATTGCTGACAATAACAAGCTTCGTCAATTATTCGAATATGGATGAACATATCTTGAGCATCAGCCTACCAATTGGGATCACAAGTTTAAAATCATGGTTGATGCTGTCGCAGCGTTTGCAAACAAACATGCCAAAACCTGTTGAACGTCTTTCGGGTCGGTTAAATCAATGCGTGATGTTGTCATTGGTAGGCACAAACTGAAACAGAGGAAACGGAATTGGAATAAACCCATTCTGTCCCAGCCAGCTGTCACCCAAAGCCTGGTAGCGCCACTTGAAACATTTGCAGTTGTTCCTACTGACAGGGTCTCCAAATACATAAACATTATATGTAAGCATCACTCAATTCATTGTTTGATCAAAGAACTTGGTATAAGTAATATATCAAATAATGCCACACGTAAAGACAGTATGTTAACGAAGTTTCATAAAAATCCGTACCCAGAGAGATATATTCCTGGGTCCAGCAAATGTATCACCAAATCCCTGTCTCAAAAGATTAACCATAATCTTTAATACAATCAAGGAATGGCTTTCTTCATATGACCAAAGAGTATTTGAGACAAGTGGAAATAAATGATACCATGTGGATTCTCTAAAAGTCGAAGAATTTGCTTGATTCTTTTGCAATCTAAGAAATGAGCCAAGTTCAATTCTGTAAAAATATTTGATGCTTCAACTTTGTACAGCATTATCCCAAAAACAAACTTTATACCTTAAACCATGGTACATTTGTCACTAAACGTGATGAAAATATATAGTTACATACCTATATACATAGATTCCGGACAATTTTTACAAAGAATAGCAATATTTAATGCTATCTGAAGTTTACTGAGAAAATAATATGTGAAACGTTGGACTGCCAAGAAGTTTAACTTGCACTTGAAATATCTGATATCGTTTAATAACCATCAAATAGTCAATTCCCTTCTACGGCTTTACCCGCCTGAACGAGAAATAAATAGGACCAGTGAGGCCGATTCATGTTTCGGATTTCAATCTATGCATAAAGATTCAGAGTGACAAAGGAATATCTACAAGACTGTATGACAAGACGACTTTTCACAACGTTTGAAGTACAATCGAGAATGCTCGTTCAAAGTCGACTTCAAAGGGGCGTCATATGACTCTTGCTGAAGGTCAAGGTTACAACATTCAAGGCCACAGTAAAGCTTTCAAAACGTTTTATACGGTGGAAATTTCCAAATTTGTTGCATCAGTGACAAAATGAATTCCGATCCAATTGTCAAGTTTTTGTTTTCTCAAGTGTACAATTGACTTGCTTTTGCATGTGTTTGTGGTGGGTGCCAACGAAGACCACGCTCACCTTTTCGCGAACAATTTGTATCGTCACGATTTAATAGTGATTCATAACTTATACTCCTTATATAATCGGAATCGTACACTCGATTTCTTATGAATATGGAAATTGTTTTGTCGCTTGTATTATTAAAAAATGTAAGAGTTTTGTCGCTTTTATTCACACGTACTACCGGAAATCACAACGTCAAGAATACCCCACCCACCTAATCATGCATTGCCACCCAGACAAATGCTACAGTTCGTGATGTAGTGGTGCTCTTTTGATTAAGCAACATTTGTATTCACTGTACGGTAGATTTGACCTTCACTCGTCAGTTCCACAAAAGCAATCGATGATTTTTAGTTTGATAATGTTCAGTGTTCATGCAAAACACATTTCTTTTAACTCTAGTTTTCCAAAAACAACAAAGGTTTCATTGTGATGAGGTTTAGATGAGTTTCAATATATTGATAAATTGACATAGCTACCTCCAGGGCATAGTTATTAAAGTCAATGATGCCACGGCACGTTCAGGTAACATGGAAATCCTATTATGTTAATTCAATAAACCTTCAACTAACGGTATGAACGCCCGTGCACATAGACATTGGGAGGTACAGACATACAGCGTAATAATGCGTAGGTAACAGCATTAAACATCGTATTTTGCAAGGGGGCACGGGTGGCCCAGTCGTCTAAGGCGCCGCGATTCGCTGTGCAGAGTTGCGTCCCTTGGGCACCCCAGAAACCTATGATTGTGGGTTCGAATCCCGGTTCGCCCAAATTATGTTTCTAGGTTTGTCAGCACCATACCCGTGCTCGTGGGTTTCACCGAAGTGGGAAACGTCTGAGACCTGCATCACTTCGGGCTTTCCTCCCACATCAAGCTAACACGCCGTGATATAACTGGAATACTGTTAAAAGCGGCGATAAACCCAACTCACTCACTCACTCACTCGTATTTTGCTATCTGCATTAAATGCAGTAAATATAAAACGTCAACGCCAGAGAATAACCAGTTTCGATTAGCCGACACAAGTTGCTTTCAAATAAATTTATGGTAGACATATGAGGGCATTTACAATTCCATGCATCAGATGTTATCCCCATTTTAAAGGTTTTTTTAGATCAACAGTTGAATTGCCTTTGCATGTATTTGTGCCACCAGTGGGGCAGGATACGTTCATCTTTTTACGAACACCTGGTATCATCATTGTTTTGATCTACACATGGTCATGCTATAGTTGGAATCATACAATGGACTTTATTAGCTGACATTTCATTTGAATATGAAAATGGTTTTGTTGTTTTTTGTTTATTTATTTTCAGTAAGTGTGATTGTTGGGCTCGGCAGTAATAATATAAGATGTAGTTAGGATTTTTATTATTTATTCCACATTCATGAATTATATGAGTCAACCGGAAACCTATTTATCCTCACTCCAGACTGAACTCCTATAGCTAACGACAAACCTCAAAGTCATTTACACTCCGAAGAAGGACGACATCCACCATGACCTTGGGGAGTTAACCAATATGTGAAACCTATAGAGAGTGAGTGCTGCTGTGTGACTGGTGGATACCACATTAACTGAATATTTAGTTTGATTCTATAAATTTCAGAACACATTGATTTAGTTAGTGGGCTTTCACATTCCGTCAATAACGCGGGTTCGGTAATCAAGGAAGCATGTGGCGTCATTCGTTTTATCGTATAATGGATAGAGCTGTCGATGCTAAACCCAACCGATAAACTTTGTGTCACGATCAGATAAATATGCAAATGAGATTCCGCAAATTACCACTTTTAATCACATTTTTACATCGAGGTGATTCCTACATACTCACAATCCCGTTGCTAAAGTTCTCAAAAGGCTTTGATAGTTCCCCGGTGTGTGCGTACCTGTGTTAAATGTAAGCATTTGGCACTATATCATAGTATACCTGCGAGGTTTATAAATATAATTATATGAATGATACTTTGATTATATTAAGTGGCATTAAATGTAAAAAAGATTTTTGCTATCGTCTCTTTCGTATCGTAAATAAGATATACATTGTATTAAGATTGTGAAATATATATAATGCTCGCCTGAGGCTCGTATTATTATTTCGTAGTCCTAATATATATTATATACTATACGAAAACACAAACGGCTAATAATTTATATGTAACATTCTAGTGATGAGACATCATATCATTCGAGAGTGACGTCATAAACACAACACGTACACGTAACGTTGGTTGGTTGGTTTGTTGTTTAACGCCGCACTCAGCAATATTCCAGCTATATGACGGCGGTCTGTAAATAATCGAGTTTGGACCAGACAATCCAGTGATTAATATTATGAGCATCGATCCACGCCATTGGGATCGATGACATGCATCAACCAAGTCAGCGAGCCTGACCACCCGATCCCGTTAGTCGCCTCTTACGACAAGCATAGTCGCCTTTTACCTCAAGCATGGGTTGCTGAAGACCTCTTCTACCCCGGAATCTTCACGGGTCCGTACACGTAACGAGAGTACAACGCGATTATAATATTATTACAGTTATCCGACGAATGCACAACAAATGAGAGACAATGCTTATAATTACAAAATCGTACTTTGCTGAACTAAATCGCAATTTTCGGACAACTTAAAAGGACTGTATAGCAACAATTACTGCTTTCTAAAAATATTGGCAAGTTTGTAAGCGACATAAATGATGCATGTTACTTCATCGCATATGAAAGTAACCATCGACCTGGAAAAGGAAATGTGTTAAAGGCTGGCGCTATGTTTGAAGTATAGAGATCACACCTCAATCAGCTGAAACTGACGTGGTTATTTCAAACACAATGTGATAGGGATGCTATGATATTGATCGTTATTTGAGTAAAAGAATCGTTCTACAGTTATTATATTGAGATACATAAAGCGACAAAACCCTTTCCAAATCCAATAGAAATATCTCTACAAAGCAGAGTCGATTGTACAATTCCGAGGATGTGTTTATGAATATTTATCAAATAGTGATGATACAAGGTGTTCGCGATAAGTTGAGCGTATCATGCCCCGCTGGTGGCACCCGTCACAAACACATGCAAAGGCAAGTCAATTGTTCACCTGTAAAAACAACACGGGAACACATGGTACAAGTCAAAATAGGGAATTGTATCGGACATCATTTTTGTCACTGATGCGTCAAATTTGGAAAGACATCAAAGACATCAAAACACACCAAAACACTCAATTGATGCATATGTTCTTAATATACCAAAACCAGAGACTGGTTGAGAGATCAGTTTCGCTATCGAGGTCACTGCCCCAATTTTGCGAAAATATGTTATTCTTTACTGAAAGCGCTGTGGAAAGACAAACATATATATAATCTAAGGTGTTTTACAATTACACTTCATTTTTATTAGTTCCAGCCCAAAAAGAGAATGGGTGAGTTAGTTTGTGATCATTTGCATGAATACTTCAGATGAGTAAGTTATGAATGAATTGGGTTTTCGCCGGGGGTGGGGCACATTTCCTACACCGACTGGCGTCGCTTAGCAGTGCCAGGATCTGGTGATCGTTGGTGATGGCATGTTCTCCGATCCTGGCCAAACGTAGCCCTGAAACGTTGTGCATGTCTTATAGAGGAGCTGTCTTGGTAATTGCTAATGTTGCACCATTGATTATTTTTTAGCCATAAAAAACATTTACTCCGTAATCCGTTCTACAATGTTGCCTCGTTACCATCCAGGGAATCGACGGACTGGTATTACCGCGTCTCATATTTGCTAATACATAATAATAACAATAAATAAGAGCGACAAAACTTTCCACATTCGTAACAAATATCGACAAAAAGTCGATTGTATGATTCCGACT